CCTGGGGGGATTTAAAAGCCGGGCAGACGAGGTGCTTAGGGCCAGGGTTTGGGGGTGGGACGGCAGGGGTAGGGGGGCGGTTGGGCTGGGGGAGCTGAAAGGGCTTTGCCAACCCAAACGATTCCAAGATTCTGTGATTGGAGCTTCTCTAAAGCCAGTGGAGAGATGTGGGCATGTCCAGAGGGTGTTTCATCCCCTGGAAGAAATCTGGAGAAGCCTTCTCCTCTCTAGTAAGGCAGCAAATGCAACCAATACTCTAGGATGTCATGTTGATCCTTACTCACTTTACAACTCTTCTGAAAAATCATTTCTCTGTGGTACCTACCAAAGATTGTCCTACCACAAAAGACAAGCTTAAGCTGTCACAGGAAAATCTAGGTAGTGCATGGCTTATCTATCCTCTATTTGCACAAAAATGAAACTCAGCTGTAAAAGATAATGCACTTCGTAAAGGCAAAAGACACTGCTGCTATTTTTAGCAACTCTAACTACGATGTGTCCGATCTGCTTTTCACACTGCATTTCTTTCAAACACGGTGAAAAGCTATTAGCCTGCTTAAAACTTAAAAAAATGAGGGAAAAAAATGTTTGCAGTAGGAATCCTCACCGGCGATACAAATACACTGAGTGCATTTTAAACCTGAGAAAAAAGCTTTTTTACTCTAAGGGTGATTGAGCACCAAAGAGGTTGCCCAGAGAGATCGTGAAGTCTCCATCCTTGGAGATATTAAAGACCTGAATGGACGTGGTCCTGGGTCCTGGTCCTCCCAAAAGGGTATTCCTAAAGTGGTGGGATGAGAAAGAAGGGCTGACCCTGCCAGAGGCCAGTGTGCTTCTGGGGCACTGATCAAAACTGAACACGCAAAGGCTCACGTGCACACAAAATCCCACTGAAAATATGAAAAATCAATGCTTTCCTCCTTGCCTGAGGTCTCATGATTTAAAAAAATGTAATGGGAGAGAACTGTGAAAAATGATCTTAGTTCTCCTTTTAAGAAACACTCGCATGATGTCTTTTATTTTCTGCGTAATGTTTATAATTATTTCTTACATCGATGCAGGCCTGCTGCTGTGTGCCCATTAACTGCTTTTCTAAGACTCCAGCATTTCAGATTGTAAGTATCGGATCTGCACTATAATAATGTATGTGATATTATTTTATAGCCGAAGCTACAACATCCTTAAAATTAGCCTGGTACCAGTTTGCTGACGCTACAATCATCGGACGAATGCTGAGATAAAATGCATATGTTAAGCACACAAAGCCTCAGCGGTTCTGGGATCACTCTTCAAAGGGAAGTCACTTTAGGTTTATCTTCTTGATTAGCATCTGGCTTACGATTTCTGAAGCTGTGAATTTGTCGTCACCAGTGTAATAGCACTGAGTATTGCTCCAAAAGCATCTCTCCATCTGGGGCACAAGGCAACAGCTTCCTCTCTCCTGGGCGACTGGATTTTGCATTGGCACCTCATCAGCGCGTTTGAAAGGGGCTGTGATGCACATCTGCGCTAATGGCAGATCCCAGCAGAAAAATTTGCGGTAGACAAAATACGCCTTTTATGCTGCATGGGAATGTTCTTCCTGCCAGCCAGGGGCTAGAAATGTAAATCACATAACGTTTCATTAAAACCTCAAGCTCAGCATGGTTGTGAGCCGTAGCTGAGACCTCAATCAACCACCTGAGACTCGCCAGCGTACAACCAGCACCAAAAGATAGCAGTAGTGACTGAGTGACCTAAATGGTGGGTTTTATTCTCCTTATAGGAGCACTGGTCAGTATTTAAGTCATTGGACAAATTTCGACGTCCATGGAAGCAGGCAGTGGCTCTGGCATGAGCTGGCTGTGAGCACACAAGTCTCCCTATCATGTCCAGCACGGAGAGATTGGGACTGCTGCAGAGAAATCCCAAAGATCTGAATGAAGCTTCTGCTCCTGATCACCTTCAGGAAGACCCTGAGACTTTCCCTTGTGCATGTGGGGATCCCCAGAGAGACCAGGCTCTTACCTCTTGTGCCAGAAAATAGGCACGTAGTAGGGTAAAGAGGAGCCAAAGTCCAACAGGGACTGCAGCCAAATGACCACCATCTTCTCATTTGCATGTTCATAGATTTAGTAAACAAGTCCTTCTTTTAACTAAGATTTTGTTCTCGTGAGCTTTGGGAAAAGCAGACTTTGCAAACAATTTCCTTTAATAGGCGAAACCTAAGATTCGGCCATCACCATCGTTAGCAGATCCGTCATTTACTGAAATGTGCAACTACGTTCTTTAGAATTGATGTTTAAGATGATTTTTTCCCTTGGTATTAACACAGTGATTAAAATAAATGTATGATGAGATTGAGGAGGGCTGAGCTAATCATTGGTCATGAAGAATTCCACATATGATACACAAGACATTGAATTTTTTTTCAGATTTCTTCACTATTTTAAATTATTTGATAATGATTCTTGAAAGTAATTCTTGATCTTTTGGAACAAAAAGCAAACGGTTGGTTTTGGACCTTCTCCTGCATGTGATTCCTTGCTTTGGGCTCTCTTAGGTACAGCACTAATTACTGTTGGATCCAGCTCCTGGAGCAATTGGACCTACATGGCTAGCTGTGACTTGACCTAAGTGTCACCTGGCTTTTGTCCTGTGGGTTAGCAAGGTTCCTCATGATAGAATCATAGAATGTTTTGGGTGGGAAGGGACCTTTAGAGACCATCCAGTCCAACTCCTGCCATGAGCAGGGACACCTTTAACCAGATCAGGTTGCTCAGAGCCCCATCCAACCTGACCTGGAATGTTCCCAGGGATGGGGCATCCACCACCTCTCTGGGCAACCCATGCCGGTGTTTCGCCACCCTTATTGTAACATTTTTTTCCTTATATCCAGTCTGAATCTCCCCTCTTTTAGTTTAAAACCATCACCCCTTGTCCTATCGCTACAGGCCCTGCTAAAAAGTCTGTCCCCAGATGATAAACTCATACTTTCATGATGCCATGTTTACAAATATCTCCCCTCCCTCACACTGCCCATTTTCAATTACAAAAGCATTCAGTTCAGCACGTCAGGTTCCCTGTGCAAAGGGCACCGTGATCTCTTCAGTAGAGCTACCTTCTCTCTAAGGTGCCTCTTGCCCGTTCATTGCACTTTTTCACAGAATCACAGAATCGCAAGGGTTGGAAGGGACCTCAGGAGATCATCTAGTCCAACCCCCCTGCTAAAGCAGGCTCTCCTAGAGCATTCTACACAGGACTTCGTCCAGGCGGGCTTTGAATATCTCCAGAGAAGGAGACTCCACAACCTCCCTGGGCAGCCTGTTCCAGTGCTCTGCCACCCTTAGAGTAAAGAAGTTTTTCCTCATATTCAACTGAAACCTCTTCTGTTTCAGTTTGCACCCATTGCCCCTAGTCCTGTCGCTGGACACCACTGCAAACAGACTGCTTCCGTCCTCGTGACTTCCGCCCTTAAGATATTTGTAGGTGTTGATAAGGTCCCCTCTCAGTCTTCTCTTCTTTTTACAGAAGAAAAATGAAAAAGTGATTCAGTTGTTCATTAAATAAATACCCTGAGAAAGGTATTCTGTGGGATTTTTTCAGAGCTTTGAGAATTGCTGCCTGGCAATGCTGGGAGACTGAGCGGAGGGATGTACGAATACTGTCCTTTTCTTGTTAAATTAAAGTGGACAAATCTTTGTCATAGCATGACCTTTTAGAGGGAAGGTAGAAATGCCCTTTTCCACTTGCATAGGACTAGAAACAGGCACCTTTTTTTTTTTTTTTTTTAAATCGCTCACATTCAAATAAAAACTTCTCAAAAAGTGCTCATCCGGGGGGGGGGGAAACAAATATTTTGATGCTATCAAAACACTGATTTGACACCTTCAGAACACTACGTGTCTTGTAGATTTCTCTTCAAAATTCATTGCCCTTCACAGTGCTCTAAGTAAGAATAAAGTCTTGAAATGAGCTATTTCATGAAGTTAACATTAATTGGTGCCATATTTCCCCCCCTTTTTTCACCAAAACTTCGATATGATTTTGCATTTCGGCTGTTCAGAGATTTCTATTTATTTATTTATTTATTTATTAACTAACTGTGAAAATTCCCAGAGGTGGAGACTCTCGTTTCTACCTCCTTCTACCCAGAACCCTCCTTCTGGGAAGCCCACAGGCATCCCTTGCAGCATTCCCTGCAGGACTGGCCATCAGTTCACAGGGCGCGACCCGGCGCGGCTGTAACCCGCAGAGCAGACCGACCTGCGCAGAACGCACCGCAACGCATTTGCTCGTATGCGAAGGTCTCCTTACCGCTGTACTTGATGACCCGAATAGTTGAGTCCCCCTCCCCAAATCTGGTGATGGGCGTCAGACGGACTTCATACGCCTCTGGCTTGATCAGCTCGGTTAGGTTGTAGGTAATTAATTCTCCCTTTTGAATATTTCCATTCACTGTAATTTCCTGTTCCCACCAGCGCTGTTGTCCAGCCTAAAAGCAAAAGAAGGATGCAAATGTCAGAGATTTTGGGACAGATTGTTGTCTTCACCTTAGAAATGAATGGGAGCACACGCTGGGCAACCCGGGGTGCTTTCTTAAACCTTCACGCAACCCAGGAGGAATAGAGATACAGAGATGAGCCGCCCTGAAATAACCTGCTGGCGAGCATTTCTGCAACAGATAGATGAGGTGACGGATGGCAAACTCATTGCCCGCTGTCTGCCTGCCCGGGTCCCGCACCAAACCTTGGGCAGCCCAGCAGCGCAGCACTTGGAATTTTGTTGTGTGCAGGAAAAGCAGGGGGTTAATTCCCTTCTGGGGGCTTCCTGACCCTCACCAGCCAGAGACTACAGCATGGGACAAAGCGCCCGTGCAAGCACCCAAGCATCCAAGCAAATGCTGCGGCATTTTTTCAAAACCCTCACTGAGTTCTTCCATCTTTAGGAGCCTGGATTTCCTTGCAGCCATTTGGGGTGGCGTGCAAGCACCCAAGCATCCAAGCAGATGCTGCGGCATTTTTTCAAAAACCTCACTGAGCAGTTCCATCTTTAGGAGCCTGGATTTCCTTGCAGCCCTGCCCCTAGGTTTCAAAGCCATTTGTTTAAAAAGGTAAATAACCTTTTTCTTCCTTAAAAAAGAAACGCTGGTCATTTCAGCTCATTTACGCTGAATTTACCAGCTCTCAAGCGCTGTCCCTTCAAACCTGACCAGCAGAATTGGTAGCCCCATTCCCTCCATGATTTTTCAAATATCGCTGGCCAACTGCAGTGGCGGCCAGGGCTTCTGCCACTGCGCAGACTGGGCTGGGGTGGACGCGGCTCCCGGGAGCTGGGTGCTGCCTCCTCGTTAGAGGCAATGAGGTTTCACAGCTGTCGTTTGGGGCATCATTCGAAGCTAATAAGAGCGTATCGAAGGAGTGAAATGCAGTTTGACTTCCCAGCACTCACCACTTTGGTTGATGGGTGAGAAAGAAATAGGCTGGCCATTAACGGCCTTAGTGCATAATTATCGGCAATCCTTGGAGTCTCAAAGATGGATGAATTTCAGAGAACAATGAAAGTCAATATGAGCAAACAAGAGGCTGTTCTATTAAAAAAAAAAAGGCAAAGCATAGATTTTTGTGCTTTACAGACTGCACAGTGTTTTCAACATCAAAATCTATAGTTTCTTTTATTTATATGCCTTCCCAAGAAATGACCCCCCCTCAAAAAAAAACCCTAATTAAGAAGGCGGCATCACAAGAAGAGAGAGCCACGTTGTCTCTAACGTTACTTCAACTAGTCTATAGACAAGCAAGAATCATGCGCATTTTGGGCAGCAGAGTGACTTGACATTGCAATATTCCTTGCCGATACTCTGCCTTATTACAGACACTATCGGCAGCAAACAAAGGAAAAATCATTAAATATTTACCGCACATCTCGAGACAACTGCGCAGGAGCAGCGATGCTAAAATGAGATGTTCCACGGCTCTCACTACACCCATCAGCGTGCTGAAGTGCTCATCTATTACATGGCCACCAATCGAGAGTTTATTAAGGGCAGAAAACCTTTTACAAAATTTTAATTTGCTGATGCAATCAAAATGGGCACTGAAATGGCGGAAATCTAGTACTAATCTACCACATTTCAGCCACGTAAACTACATTTGCAGTAATATTAACAGATGCCAAGACGGGGGTGTCAATACCTCCATTGTTAGTACGTGTCCTGGTTTCAGTTGGGATAGAGCTAATTTTCTTCCTAGTAGCTAGCATAGTGCTGTGGTTTGGATTTAGCACCAGAAGAATGTTGATAACACACGGATGTTTTCAGCTGTTGCCAAGCAGTGCTCAGACTACTCAAGGACTTTTTGAGCTTCTCCTGCTCGGCCAGGGGCATAACAAGCTGGGAGTACAGCACAGCCAGGACAGCTGACCCCAACTGACCAAAGAGCTATTCCAGACCATGGAACATCATGCTCGGGGGGAGTCGGTCGGTCGGTTGGTCGCAGGGAGAGTGATCGTGGCTCGGGGACTGCTCGCGGCTCGGGGACTGCTCGCGGCTCGGGACGGGCTGGGCATCGGTCGGCGGGTGGTGAGCAATTGCCTTGTGCCTCATTCGTTTTGTATATTCTGTATATTCTGTTATCATTCTCAGTATTACTATTATTATTATTTTCTCTTATTAAACTGTCTTTATCTCAGCCCTCGGCTCTAACCTTTTATTTTCTTCCCGATTCTCTCTCCCATCCCACTGAGGGAGGGGGGGATTGAGCGAGTGGCTGCGTGGTGCTGAGTTGCCAGCTGGGTTAAACCATGACAGCACGTTACAGCAGTACAGCTATATGCCCATTAAATCTAACTCAGACTGCGAAGCCAAAAAGCAAGAGGAATTCTTAAAAAAGGTGAGATGATGGAACGGCTCTAGACATCAGCTTCGCTTTGCTGCTGCCAAAGTCAGTGTGGATTTTACTGCGATTTGAGCCTTTGCAGGGCTTGGGTGAGAGCAACGCTGAGTGCACCTCAGGTGTTATTGCAGGGTTCCTGCTCTTGCACATGCTGGGTGAGCCATGCTATAGGCTCAGGTGGCTCTTTGGGGCTGGCCCTGCAGGGGTTAAGTCATGCATAGGAGAAACACTAGTGAAAAAAATTCTCAGATTAGGTTAGAAATGCAAAAACAAGTTTCCATATGGAAAACCCACACTGCTGTCTGCCCAATGTGCAAGGCAGAGGAATGAGGATTAATACAAATCCTGCACGTGCAAGGGGTGGCAGACTGCCTTTGGGGCCTGCCCCTTGTTTCAGAAAGCTTTCGAATGGACGTGTGGGTGTAGAGCAGGAGGAGGGGTAAGTGCATTGCTGAGGAGCCCGGGCATCCCAGCGCAGCACCGGGAGCAGAGCTGCTGAGCCCAGGGATGCCCCGAGCAGCATCACCTGGGTGTCTACCCCAAGTACCATCACCTTTCCTCTGTTGCAAGCATTAAAATGCCCCACTTCAGAAGATGACGTTAATGAAATGTCCGCCACGACTTTGTATGCAGCCTGGAACTGTGGACTGTTCCTCTGTTAGTGGTTTTCTAAGGCTACCACACTACAAAGAGTTATTAAAGGAAATAAAGATACTGAAAATATGTGCATTTATATTGTATCTTTTAAAAGTTCATCCTGGTGGAGTTCATGACAAAATTCAATTTGACAGATTCTGTTTGATGCCAGCTCTTCCACAGCTCTTTGTACCTGAGCACTGAGATCAACAAAATGGACAATGAAACCCAAGGTACAGGTTGTTTAACAGAAAGTCAGTCATCTTCTCTCTTCTTTAGATACCCGTGAATAAGAACACACCACAGATACCTCCTGCAGTCAGGTTTTGCAGTGTGTGGCTGTGACATCCCACAGCTCGCGTAGCAAACACCAGCATGCATGAGGGCTACGGTTCCTCCCATCCTCTGCTCTGCCCCCCAGCAGCCCTGGTTTTATCCCTGCTCCCATCTCAAAGGAACCTTCCAGGCATCACCAAAACTCGAGTGCTCAGGAGGGAAGCGGCAAGTGCTGTGTACGGCCAACACTACGCGTGGAAAAGCACGGGAAGGCACAAGGACAAGGCTCTGCTTCTCATGGGCGCCGGGTAAAGCAGGCATCAAATTCTCATCCACATTAAATGCTCACAGATTATTTAAAACACTGCAGAAACAAACAGAAGGGGCACCGGGACCTTTCATATACGTTGAATAATGCATAAGGCACCGTGCACCTTCACGGGCTGTCAGGGAGCCCTCCCCGTAACAGATAAGCCTTGTCTCACGCAGACCGGTGTCCTTGAGAGGAAGGTGGTGAGTGTGCTGCAGAGAAGTTATTATGGATAATTACGAGAAGATTTAGAGTGTATTTTTAAAGTGGTGCACGGGGAATTTGCCCACATGGATCCTCTCGCTGGACCCGCGTGGACGGATGCTCGCCACCCCTAGTGCAGTCGAACTGGAAAGAACTTCCAGAGAAAAGGCGCTGCTCTAAGGGGAGAAGCTGGAAACCACCTCTGTGAATGTTCATAAATTTACCAAGCTACCTAGCCAGCGCAATACAACCATCTTCTGTTTTAAATGTGCAAGTATTATTGGTTTTGTCGTTCTTAAACGCGACTTTTAAATTTTCGGAACTCAACGTGGCTGTTTTAAAATGTCCTTCAAGTAAATCTACAGATGCAAAAAACGACCAAGGTAAATCAGGATTTTTTTCTCAAAGAGAAACTTTTTCATTCGCACATCCCTGCTCCCATATGGAAAAAAAAATATTAAAACCAAAACAAATCCTGAGAAACTCCATTCTCCCCAGTATTCCTGACCGCACCAAACTGTGGTAGAGGCTGAAGTCGCCATATCTTTATAGACAGGGACTGCAACAAGGAATCTAGTGCAGTTCCTGGCAAAATTTCTCAAAAGCTTTATAATGAAGACCAAATGTTTTATCTGAAACACTTACTTGATTTTCAAATGAAAATGATAGGCAGCAATTTATAGAGTTGACAAACGGGGAACAAATTTGTATGCAACTGATTCAGCCCACAAAAGGAAACCTAAGGTATATATATTTTTTTTTTATATTGCCCGAACAGCTCCCCAAAAAATTTAAGTGATGCTTAAAAAAACCCCAGAACTGCTCTGCAGGCCTCACAAAGGCTGCTTGTCCTTCAAAAGGAAAATTCCCTGATCTTACTTCGCTGTAATTATCACCGCTTGTTCTTTGCAATGGATCCAATTTTTATTTTATTTTTTTTTTAAATCAAACTATCAAGCTGAATACAAGCAGTCTTTGCAAGGAAGATCAAACCCATTGACTCTGCCCCAAAAATGAGCGGTTTATACTACCAAACTTAATTTCATGATTGTGCCCGTCCCTTTCACACCAATTAAGAATCAGAGAAACATAAAACTCTGGAGAAAATTACCTCATTTCCAACATAAAAAAAAAAATAAAATAAAATTTTTCAAAATAGACATCATTAGTGGGTTT